TCTAAAATATATAAAGGATTCACTAATAAATGGTGCAAGTGTAATGATAATATAGGATCCTTTTATCATATGTGGTGGTCTTGCAAAAATAATAAAACAAGGAAATATTGGGACCAAATTCATAAAAGTGCAAGAAATTCTCAAAATCAAATTTCAATTGAAATGAGAATTATATTTCATAAATATATAAAACAATAACATAGGAGGAGAATATGAAAAAAATATAGTACATGATAACCACAGCTAGAATAGTAAACAAATAGACTATATCCCCCCATACGAACCAGTTAGATCCCTTAGACCACTGTAAATGGGGAGTGGGGAGGGGAGAGAATTACATTACAAACATAACCAGCAGCTGAATTATATCAAGTCATCATTTTAATGATTTTTTTGTGACTGTTATTTAAAAATTAGTAATTAAAAAAACAACAACAGCAGTGTGACTTTTGCATGGAATCCTGCTAAAAATCACACATGAAACCTTCCCAAGTGCAGGTAGACATATAAAATCCTCTCTCCAATACCACCAAACCCTCTCAAAATCACCACCCATCTTAAATACTTTCTTTTCCTTCCATTCTTTCTCCTCAATGGTTCCAGGAAATTACATAACATCATCACAGGTCACCATTTTGGAAGGAAAAAGGATGGAAAATATAGTATTTTGTGGTTCTCTGGGGATACTATTTGAGGTGGAAGGATATGGTTCTTGGCCCCTGCAGAGGTGACCACTCTTCCCATGTTAATTGTTCTTCAGAGACTATTTTGGATAGCAGCTTCCAAGGGAATGAAATGTGTACTATAGTCCATAGAACTTTAATTTCAAAGACACAGAAAAAGTGGGGCTTTCAGAAAAGTGTACTTTCTAGGAAAATAACCAGATGGGTGGACAGCATCCTGCCCCATCCATAATCCTGTTGACTCCAAAGAGATTTTAGGGTTAGTGGTGGGGGTGAGGGGGGAAAGAGGTGTAATATATATATATATATATTGTTCATTACTGTTCTTTTTATTACTGTTGTGGTTTTCTTGTTATGTTTTCTTTCTTTATTGATTGTATTACTGTACATCTTGTACATTTTATCCTTATACTCCCGCCTCGATCCGTAGGGAGAGGCGGGAAATATAAATAAATTTTATTATTATTATTATTATTATTATTATTATTATTATTATTATTATTATTATTATTAATCAGCAGCAGCAGACAGGAAATGCTAAAAAATAGCACCATTGTTTGTATTCATAGGAAGAAAAAATAATGCTGTTATCAGCACACAAAGTAAAAAAAAATGCATTTCTTGTTGCTGAAAACATGTAAATACAGGAACAAGGTCTCTGAAACGATATGCAAATGATTCCATAGTGCTACTTTAGTGTAAGACAATTCCAGAAGCTCAGATCAGTTTCTGAGAAGAACATGTTTCAGTAGTTTCAAAGTCTGCCTTACACATTTAATGTGTACAAACTAACCCAAAGAAAACCAAAGGCATATCAAGTCCAGCATTCTGTACACATAGTGGCCAATTCAAAGCTCACATTAGCTCACATTATTGTGTTAAAAGTCACTCCATTACCTGCTACTGTTTTTCATAGCAAAGGACAATATTGTAGGACAATATTGTTTTTAAATTAAGTTGCTTTCTTTGGGAGGATTAATTTTAATGTGTAATGTTAGTAACATGTTATGAATAAGTACCATTGCCTGTTATTTGTATGTAATGTCTACCTACCAACAAATTGTCTTTTATGTTGCAATCTGAATATTTAATAAAGTTCCAAAGCTCT